GCGAACACGCTATACCAAGCAGATGGAAACCCGGGGCGGGGGGTTTCGGGACTCATCCCACATTATTTTAGGTATGTGCCACTGCGTAAGTCAAAATATATGGCGGGGGGGGGGCTCTGTAGATCGTGATGAGCTTCGAGACCTGAAAATGGGGTGCTCTGGAAATAATGTTTGTTAAATGTGGTATGCTCTGGAACAGGCTATGTTTGAAAATGGGGGGTCTCGAGACTAGGATTTCGTGAAATTCAATGCTATGAAACTGGACACGGTTAAAAGAGGAGGTGGCTACTGTGGGGAACAGTGATTTGCTTTAAAATCTATTGCCTAGTCGACGTGTTTAAAAGAGGAGGTCTCCGGAACTGTGGGGGGAACAGTGATTTGCTTTAAAATCTATGCCGTAGCACTTGAACCAATAATTGTTGTATTATGTAGAGGAGAGAAAAACATGACCCGGAGAGAGATGAACGCACACATACACACACACACACACACACACACACACAACACACACACGTTGCATGCATGCCTTCACGGCCCGGCTTCAACGTATTCTGAAGTACGATGCACTGGAACGGAAATATTAAAAACTATATTATTTTTCATAATTATGTACTGATAGTATATACAATTTTGTAAACAATGTTTTATTAGTTATCATACTCATAATATATATATTTTAGATACTTTAGTCAAAGCATCAGCTTTAGCTACATTCCTTATTGAAATTTACAAATTGACCTTTTAAAATGATCAGAATTGGTTGCTTTCAACATAGCCTGAAAATGCAGGAAATGCCATTTCCAGGCTCTAAATTTCAAAATTTTTCTAGGGGGAGTACCCCCAGACCCCCCCCCCGCATCGGCTTCGTGATTGCGACGTTGATCGCAGCGCACACACCATAACCGCCACTCTTGATATTATCAGGAGTCTATCAATAGACTCCTGATATTATCACTGGGTGATCCTACATTTTTCTGCAGTAGCATATTTTGGGAGGCCACTACGGCCCTGCAGGTATGTGTTAACAGTTGTGTTATCTAGGCAGGCCACCAAGTTATTTGATTAGTGTTCCATGAACGCCATGCAGTGCCAAGGAAACAGTCTGGCAGAAAGCTGCCAGGTACACGCGTGCAAAGGCAGATTTGTATTACGAGATTGTGTGTATCCAAAGTTATTTGGTTTAACCGTTTTATTACAGCGTTGTGATAATTGTGCCAACATTGCTATAAGATTATGGTATTTTGCGAGTTTGATGTGCTGTCATAAGAGTTTTGCTAATGTGGTCACAGTTCATTTTAAAATTGTGCTTACGCGTGCGAGCGTGCGTGTGTGTACATGCGCATGCATGAAGGTACATTATACCCATTATACAGCCTGTGACAGCTCAGGTGACAGACTTATCATAAGCCTGCCTCATTATAAATAACTTTCAGTTGGGTTGTGGCATGACACTTTTATGTAGATTAATTTGGCATGTCACTTTTATGTAGATTAATTAAGGGATTTATAAGATTTAATGGATATACAATTACAATGCTCCACGCATTCAAAATAATTTAATTACTGACTACCAATGTCTGCCCCTGACGGCGTGTGGGCTGAGATTACCCCCCTCCCCCATTCCCACCACCCAGGTAAAGGGGCTGTGTGTGCCTCATTCTCCACTAGTGCCCATGCCTACTTAGGTACCTCCCACTCGCATGCAATATATATTGCAATAGATTATCATCTCGTAACCATATTATCTTCTATATATCATGGTATTCGTAACCATAACCATATTCAAATGCTAACCCCTTCGTGGGTGTTCAGCTATGATATATCAATGATGGCAGGGTATACCGTGGCTATGATACATCAATGATGGCAGGGTATACCGTGGCTATGATATATCATATGATGGCAGGGTATACCGTGGCTATGATATATCAATGATGGCAGGGTATACCGTGGCTATGATACATCAATGATGGCAGGGTATACCGTGGCTATGTGCTCTGACGCGCTTTCAGGTGATCCCGCCATGCAGATGTCTGCGTTCCGGATTCTCTCCCGCGTATGATAGCAATTACTTCCCGTAACATCGCAGCGTTTACCCGCGTTCTCTTTGGAGTCTGCCGACACCACCACACCACCACAGCAGCAGCAGCAGCATTCCTCGCCTAGCGCTGCACTGTTGTTGACGTGAGCTGCTGATCATGTCAATAATATCGCGATCATGCATTTTTAAAGCGCGAGAGCGTGAGAAATCTGCGATGATTACATGCGCGCAGGCAGGGAGTCACGCATCGACTCACGCATGATAATGCGGCTGCTGCTGCTACGCGACATATGTCCCTCCCCTTCCCTCTCTCTATCCCCCCCCCCCGGCGATCGAGCGCCCGAAGGGTTAATGAATAAAAATTCCACTCGGGGTTCGCTCGGCCATTCATCCCGATACGCTCTCAATAATTAAAACGCGTCGACATTATTTTTCAGGAGATTCGAGACCTGCTGGCGG